GAGTCTTTGTGTGAGAGGGGGCAGTTGTGGGGGGGGGGGGGGATGCGCTGCAACGAGAAAGGAATGCGACAATATCCTTCTCCCTTCTAAGAAAGGATCGCGGGAGCGAGTACAATTTCTTATTATCCTCCATGCAATCGGAGAGGGAATTTTTTTTTTTTTTTTTTTTTTTTTTTTTTACTGGGAATAAAAATACATTACGCGGGCTCACGCATGTGCCGTTAAGCAAAATGGGAGATCCGACTTAAATTGATGTATAATCACGCGGGAATGTTCAATCCACTTGATATCCAAGGAGCCTCTTTAAAGGGGAAGGTTAAGCCGCCGTAGCGCGTGACGCGTCACGGCGACGCCTTTGGCACTTATTACCTTTTCAGATAAAGTGTCTGACTGTAGGCACATTGTTCTTTGTTAATCGTTTTTCTACTTTTTCGTATCTTCAAAGACAAAGTGTCATTGCGATGAATGAAAATGGAAGCTCCTGAGGATTTATTGGCACTTTTGGCAATATATTGGCTTTAAAAGCTTAGACAAACTTTGGCCAAAATTAGCGAATTCTTATGATTATATTAGAATCCAAGATTATGTTTATTTCTCGAATCATAAAATAATTTTAATTCTTTCAAATCAATGTGTAATTAACTATTGTCTTCGTGGACTTTGTTTCTGATCGGTAATACATGGCTTTGATCTCATAACGGATGTCGTGAGTCTGATCAAGTGAGCCTATTCTTAAGTAAGTCTTGGTCAAGTAGCAATGTATATTGTAGATTACAGTTCTGCAATTTCATAGCTTTTCATTAAAGTTCCATACATGTTTTTTCAAAGAGTAATTATGAATGAATCTCTCGTCTTTTATTCAAAGTTCTTTCCTTAAAAACATTGATCTTCATATTTTATTCAATTGAATACTTTGATTTAAAGGATAATCAACAAAATAAATGCTTTCGTTTGAAGAGGATTACAAGCTTACGGTATAACCGTCGGTTTAGATTACTTTTAATTCTGGAAATTTCTATTCATCTTAGAGTTATGTGAATGAAAATGGATAAAAATAAAATGTACCAAAATATTTTCAGTAAAAGATACAATTGAATATATTTTTCCAAATTAATTCGAATTTACAGTTTCTAAATAAATCTATTGGTAATAAAATTAATTTTTTTCAACCTAACTTCATTGTTATCACTAGAATTATTGTATTGAAATTGTATTAAAAAAAAAAAAAAAAAAAAAAAAAAAAAAAAAAAAAAAAAAAAAAAAAAAAAATCACATATATTTACATTTATATTAAAAATATCTATTCAATAGAAATTGTAATTTCAATTTAACATTCGATATTTTATGTTTTTAAAAGAAAATTACTATTAAGTCAGGAGCAGCTTAAAGATACCCGATAAGGGGAGGATAAATTTTAATTTTTAATTAAGTTATGTAGAATTTTATGAAATTTTTTTCAACTGTACCCGTCCAAATAAGCAACAAATGCATCGTTAAACCTTTGTGAAAGACCTGTCCTTAAAAATATGTAGAGAAATGTAAAAGCAAGTGTATATACAATAGGACTGTAAGCTGTTCGCTTACGACTTTCCAATATCTGAGATCCTCCAACAAAAATATTATTATCGTAGCTTTCTGAATTTGATTCGATTTATATTAAAAATTTTACTTTACAAGTCTTTCATGTAAATCTAAGAATCATTCAATCAAAATATACAATAATAAAATAAATATTACTAATAAAATAATAGTATGCAATGCTTTAATAGTGAAATTATTATTAATTGAAGATATTTATGACTCGTGATAAAGAATGATATGAAATATATGTATTCCATATGTATATGTATAAAGTTCTTCAATAAGTTAATTATCAATAGAAGCAACAAACCCAAATTAAATTAAAAGATCGAATGAATCTGTTTAAAAATGTTAATATATATATATTCATTTTCTATTTAGTAAAGTATGTTCTAGGGATTATAAAACTAACTTATTAAAATGATACAAATCAAGACATTCTTTTAATAAAAACAAATTATGTTTTAAAAATATAATATGCCATCTTTGTCATCTAGCTTGTATGTAAAATTTTTTTAAATAATGAAGAAAAAATGAAATAATCTCTAGATAAATAGAATTTTTATCACTTTAATCTGAATACCAAATATGCTTATTTACTTAATTCTTTTTATTCGGCGAAGTTTTTTTGACATTGCTTCCTACTTAGAAGCCAACGGAAATTTTGCAAGTGTCATTAGTCATCGGATAAATTCTGAATTCATCTGCGTAACTCAACCAACAGAGAATAAGTCAATGTGAATTTAGGGTTGATTTTTTGTCATTCTCTTTCAACAAGTACCGTGCATGCCTTATGCTACATATTTCAAAAGACTCCATTTCGCCTAATACATTACTTAAATTATATATAATATAATAATGTTTCCTATTTTATTTCGCTAAATATTTATATTTCATTATATTAAGTAAATATTTTATACGGTAAATAGTTTACAGTCTTATCAAACGATGGTCTTTAGTTTAAAAAAAGAATGATTTTTAACAGATTTAACGATGCTGTTAGCCGAAGTTCATACAAAAATTATTTTTCTGATTATAATCACGTGCTCCTTATTTATTTCGGCATCGGATTCTGATAAAGAAAATATCTTGGCCAGGAGGAAGCGCTATGTCGTATTTCCGGAAGGATCGAGTTTCTCTGTAAGTAAACGAGCATTTTTACACGTAACATCATTATTTTACACGTAACATGATTATGAAATCAAAAATAGCTTATATAATAAACAACAAGAATGTTGCTTAAGATTTTAAGGTACTAACTGACGACTGACATAATGATATGTTTAACGGATACAATAAAAATGCTAAAGATATTCGAATATTTTTCAAACAAACATGTTTACGAATAAATAGATAAATCAATAAATTAATGAATTTTTTAAGATAGTCGCAAATCTTTAAAATTCAATTAAAGAAACAATTTTAAACATATAATATTGTTGTAATACTGCAATTTAATATTTTCGCTATAATTTTTAATATTGTTATTACAGTCGTTGCATCGGACATAGTCAATGAAATAAATTTGTATTTTCAGATTGCTTTATGTATGACCGTCCATACTTTAACTCCTGATAATATTTTTACGGAAGGTCTTAACTGGGGAATTTCTTACGATCTTCCTAATGAGAGCAAATCAGAACTGGAGCCATTCCTTCAACTGAGAAAAGACAAGATTAAGCCTGGTGAATATTACGAGGGTAATAAATATGATTATTCAATGAATAATAAGTACAACTATTATAATAAGCCTAGTAATATGGTTTGGAATAATGATGGGAAATACTATATGCTGCCTGGTGGAAAGAAATATTATAAAGCCGATTACCATTACTTGCAAAGAAGATATCGTCGAGATCTTTATAATAAGCTCGAAGTCATTATAAATGCGTAAGTAAAAAACTTATTCTTTAGCCCATGTATGTATATTCGAATAATTAGAGATGCTGGCTACTTGCGGTTAGAAAAAAGAGAGAGAGAGAGAGAGAGAGAGATAGAGAGAGAGAGAGAGAATCAGGTTATTATATAATCGTTAGTCGTATAAGTTTTAAGAACAAAAGTCCTTAAAAAGTGAGTCACGTACTTGGTTCGTAATGCGAAATAATAGCTTTTTTATTTTTCTCGAAGGGTGTGGATATTTCGTTGGCCCAACATCTTCGGTCATCGCTGGTAAAGATAAAACTTACACGAAAATAATAAAGCATGTTAATTGACATCTATAGATTTCGTGAAGTAGAGCGGATGAAATCAATGGCAGGAATCGATATAACTCCTGAGCGACTTGAACTTAATAAAAGTTTGGTGGGTGTCATTGATGGGGCTTATATTTTGCCTTGGAAATGATCCGATAAGGCCTAAGGCGCAAAAGTGGATTCGATTAGGCGTCAAAGTAGTGAGTGCCTATTTTATTTTGGTAGTAGCTCGGAAAAACAATAAAAGCTTGGGGCGTAATACATAAATTGAGTCGGCCCAATCAGAATGCATGGAAATACTAAAGAGTACTCGTTCCATCGGTTAGTTATGTTCTATAAATGTCGATTATTGACATTTAAATTTCTTCATCGAGGACACGAGGAAAACCCGCATTATCTATCTATCTCTCACATTAAGATCGCTCGAATTAATGTGGCGAACTTGACATTGCACAACTTTTGCCAAACTTTTCATTCACAAATACGTAATCGCCATTTTATTCAAGAACTCCCATGAAGATATTTTAATTTTTGATTTTGTTTATTAATGAAACTTTCCGCTTTTTTAATAAATTTTTAACGATTACGATTATTCAGAAATTAGTGAATTGCTTAGTGCTTTTATTACGTTAATTCGATTAAGCTGATTAATAGATGGAGAAGTATTATTTATGTTATTCGTCGCTTTCCATCAGATTGCGAAATCCTCAAAATTTTAAATCTCCTTATAATACATGAAAAGAAATTGATTATACAGGAGAATAAAAGAAAATTTATCGTTACATTTTATGGTAGTAATGTCTCTTATAAGAAGTAAAGATAATGAAAATATATATATATATATATATATATATATATATATATATAACATAAGAGACAAACATTGGGGAAAACAGGTGTGTGTGTGTGTGCATGTATTCGTAATAAGGATGAGGCTACACAGTATAATTAGATAAGAGTTGAGTGAATGTTGAAAAGGGTGGAACCGCAAGTTATGAAATTTCCGATACTTGTTGGTAACTATGCAAGCTCGTGCTCGTGTTTCTCCAGACTCATCTGCCTCTCTCCTGATACGTATACATAGCACGGGAACCTATACATACGTGGGTGGCCCACAATACCCCCAGCGACTTGTAATATATCATTAACGTTTGCGATGTCCCGCAAAACCACGCGAGGAGTAATCTTCATCGTTAAACCGAGCGATATTGCATTCTCGGGATCGCCTTCGCCAAGTCGAGCCGAGCCGCACCCAGACACTGTTAACTGATACAATCGCACTCGCAATAAATCAAAACTGTCACACTGGCTATCGTATATCGTGAGCTAAGAGAGAGAAAATTTCTCAGGGAATTCCATTATACTGGGCTTTTTTACTTTTTATATTCGGCATTAGACTATCAAAGATTTTTTTTTTTTTTTTTTTTTTTTTTTTTTTTTTTTTTAAGCAAAATTTCCGGATGTTCCTTGTCGAAGAGAATGATCAAAGTAACTCGCACATTGGAATAGCGTGGAAGGGGAAGGCAGAGCTTTTTCGATCTGTAAACATCGGGCTTAACTCACTCTTCCCCTATTTTCCACTCCTACTTCTATCCCCATCTTTAGCTCCCTCTCCTTCTTTTTCATGCATTGCGGTTAGATCTCGTGCAGCTTCTTAGAATTCACCCTCGACTCTTTCCTCCAGCAAGAGCCTCCTGAATTAATGGTTTACATTTACTTGGATTGCCAATCCCAACTACTACCAATGAGAGGGAGAGCTCAGACTGGGGAAAGCACGGTTTCAAATATACTATTAAAGAAAAAGTCGTACGTCGGGCCAATAAGAGACTTCAAACGATCTCAGCCAAGTTGTTCGCTCATTGCTCTTGCACGAAATTCAAGTAAATAGAAGCGCATTTAAATCAAATGAACATATACGAGGAGAACTTAGAAGTTGACTATTTCAGTGGAATAATAAGAATTTTTGAAGGATTGCAATGTATTAAAGATTCGACGACGGAAGTCTGCATTCAATCTTTCATACATCTTGTTTCATTATTTAAGCAGTAATTGACGAATAAAATAGAAACTATCCGGTAAAGATATCCGGTTGCATATTCCGATGGCGCTTGTAATATATTTTAACGTCACTTTTGCCGTACTTCTTACTGTGGCTTATTTATTATGATATATATTTTTGAATATTTTTGCCAAGAGTCTCGTAGTTAAAATATTACAAACGCCATCAAAAATATTGTATAAAGTATGAAAAGTATTTATAGCCACGATAGATCATAATTTTAATAATGTTGAATTCTAAAGATTAAATTCAATTATAATTTTCGTTCAAGTATCATCAATTATATATATATATATATATATATATATATATATGTTATTAGATTTATTTCGCATATTTTAGTCTCAATTGTCTCCAAGCAACTATTGACAAATTGTTAAAAGCAGAGGAGAAAGCGCTTGTTCCCTTAAAGCAACAAGAAGTATAAAAGAGTATAAGATCGCCCGTTTGGGGAAAAAGCGACTCGGGGAATGGGCAATATCAAAATTATCTTTAATTTCGACTGTTCTTTATTCTACGATTGCAGAATGGGCTTCGACGGGAGAAACTGTATCCTTCGTGCACTTTGTGAGGCCTCGCAACGCTTCATGCCAAAAGGAAACAGCTTAGTCGAGGAGATGATGAGGATCGTTTTCACGTAAGTAACGAACCTCGTGCGTATCGAAAGTGGTCAGTCGTGTGTGATCGGTCGGAACTAAAAGCTAAGCAGACGACTAATGTTATAGTGGCTGTGTGGGGCAAAATCGCTCTTTTATCGATAAGGACGCACCAAGGCAAATAAAGAAAGTCGAATCCCTGAGTCAGCCGAATTTACTCATTCCTCTAAGGGTATATTAGAAATACTTTTTTTGCCTTTTCAGCTTATAATAATTAGACAATAACGTTAGAGATTTTGCTATTATAGCACTTTTCATGCATTAAGAATCTACCCGACTCAACTAAAACATTAAATGTTATTTTGTAACTTTGTAAATATTCTATGAAGATAAGCTTTAAATATACTTTTTTTTTTTTTTTTTTTTTTTTTTTTTTTTTTTATTATAATGTCTTTAAATTCTTATAATAATATATTTCAATGTCAGTCAATCAACAGGAGTTGCTCTGTATTAAGAAAAGATCGAAAACATCTATGATTATATTAAAATTTTCATATGATAATACGCGTACTTGATCCATAATATTTATATCTATTAATTGATTATAAATGTATGTCAGCTGCTTTTACCAATTCACATAAACTATCGCTCGATTTTGATTTACTAAGTTACTAAGTTACTAAGATATTATTTCATAAAACTCTTAATAGCCATTCCAATGATATATAATATAATGTATAAAATTCTAGGCAATTTGTTCATCTTCTGTTTAAAAAAAAAAAGAAACTTTCAGTTAGAGCTATTTTCAACTGAAAAGACTTCTTTTGTTTTTTTTTCCTTACAACGAGCTTGCGTGCATAAATACAAAGTTTTATCAATTTTTGTAGGATAAGATATAAAACAGATGAAATATGAAACTGAATAAAGATAAAGATAGAAGTGAAAAATGAAATACACGGATAAAAGGTGGATTATATATTACGTATCATAATGGGAAAAATTGATTTTCTTTTTAAAGGTTCATTTAGCCATAAATACGCAATTCGAGCCTAGATTTTCTAATATAATTCAGCTAAAAATTTTAACTACACTCTGTACTCTCACCTCGCGTTTTGCTTGATTCGAGATTCAATAACATTTGCAGGAAATTTTGAAAAATTTATGAAAATCTTTTAAATTTTGATGAAATTTTTAGAGTACACTCAATGCTTAATATTTCAAATATATTTTACGAAATTTTCATTTTTAAATGCGTATTATTTCAAGATATCATTATTTGCTAATATAATTCACCGATAGAATATTATTGATAATTAAATGAATTACGATATTGTCAGATTATACATTTTAAATTATAGCGGCCTACTTAAATGTATAAAAGTAAATGAAGCTAAAAGATATTACAAAATACATTGTAATTCTATTGACATAAATCCCGATAAATCTAGCCCGACAACGTTTTTACATTAAATGTTTAATTGGATCGTATATTAGCAAAATCCATATTGTCGAGCAGATATAACTGGTAAGTATGACGTGGCGTTTGTTAAGTAACCTTACTATTATCCAATAGCCCCTCAAATTACAATAGAGCGGAAATTTAGGCTACACGCGAATAGGCAAATGAATAGTATTTAAGTTGCGGAATGTTGCAGATTACCGCTGAAAAGGGTCTTTTCTTTCGAACCGGAGGAGCATCACACGTACACGGATGCTCATAAAGCCGGCCACAAGGGTGGAAACTGCGCAGCCATGTTCCCCGGATGCAGCTTTTCTCTTATAGACATGGCCCTCGGGAAATATAACGCCCCAGACAGCGCGGACAGACCTTACCCCTCTGACGGCAATCCGGATGTTTCCGAAGGGGTCACCGGAACTTTGGATACGAGACGCGTCGATGCTCTGGCACCGGATCTACGATACATCATGAAGTGAGCGCGCGCGCTTTAAGGAATAATACATTCGGCTCTTCATTTTTATTTTTGACCCGCGAACCACCGATAGGCATTTTTCCAACATACTTCCATGCCATCCGCATCGATGGCATGTTACTTGCATCTCTACTTCTCCTACGTTATTGGATCTGTGCGCTTTGCACTTGGCACTTTGCGAATTTTTTCCACCTTCGGCAATGCGAGAAACAATTTTTCTAGATAAAAATATGTACGTAGCTAAAGAAATAGAATGTTTGACACACATTTTTACAGGGATGTAAAAATAATGTGGAAATAGCCTGACTGAATGTTTATCAGGTGATATTACATTAACGGCAGTTAAACAATAAATAAATAAATAAATATGATTTCAATGGCGCATAAATTTTACACGAGATCTTCATTATAATCTAAAAGACTCATATTATTAGGACATTTCTTTTTCCTAATACAACAGAAATAATTTAAAATATTTTTAAAACTTTCAATCATTTATCTTCCTTCATTAAATTGCTGGGAAAAAACGTCTCCTAAGCTATGAATGTGTAATAAGAATTTATATATCAGTTACAAGAATAAAGATGTTTTTTGTAATATTGAACATTAGCGAAATAGAAGTTTTAAATATATTTATTTTATTGCAAATCTTCATTGAAAGTTTAGCGTTTAATTTCTTGTTTTTAAAAAATAAAAAATCTATATAAGTGAGAAACTCATATGTAATATATGATTATTAAAATTTATTAAAAATATATTGTTTTTTTATCTTATTTTTTGTTAAATTTATATTTCAAGTATTTTATGAATTGGTGAAAAAAAAAAAATTTCCAAAAAGAATTGATCTAATAAATCTATATAATATGTCGGAATGATGTGTTAAAAATGAGATTTTATGTGATAAACGAATCAAAGAATTATATATAAAATATTTATAAATTTCATTAATTAATTATGATATGATTCATCTTTAAGTTCATCCAAATTATTTACTAAAAATATTTATGAAAATACAATTAATGAAGAATAAAGAATTATTTCATTTTATTTCATATATTGATATTGTATTGAATTTCGTGTAATTCAGTTGATTTTATAACATTTCATTTTCTAACCAACAACAACAAAAATTTTAAATAATATAATGGTGGCGTAATAGACAATTGATCATAACAATTAATATTTGTAAAATACTCGCTCAAAAAACAAATTACGACAATTAATAATAAATTTCAATTTATTATAAGATAAGAAGAAAGTTTTTTTTAGAAGTTTTTAGACTTATTTTCATAGAAATTTTCATTTTTATTTGCAATTATCAGTGCCAAAACTTGTCAAAGTCTACATTTACGAAGACTCGTTTACTTTCTGAGATTGGAGTTTACAACACTTTTAGACGCCACGAACTTGGACAGTCGCGACGTGAAAGTACCGACATGACTCGTGAATTTCTTATCTACTGTAAAACGTACGACATAGAAATTCATAGCGTATGTTAAAAAAAAAAAAAAAAATAAAAAAAAAAAGAAAGAAAAAATACATTATTTCTTTTATTACATAAATGTACCCAAATAAACGTAGAATTAATTTCTTACTGTAAGGAAGAACGAATTTGCTTGTATATATCGTCTAAGATATGGAAGGAAGAATGATTATCATTTGATAGAAAGAGATTTTCAATATTCGACTAATAATATCGCTTATAGTTGTATAAGCTTTTCCGATCTGCAAAGTTTGTTATGCGTGCCATTAAATATCGATTTTATAATTCAATATGAGTGGTATGTCAAGTGACAGCTTTGTGGCATTTCGGGAGATTCGGCAGATCAAGGACAAAATCGGACAAACTGTCCCACTCGGTACAACGAACCAATTTTCCCAAGATATAACTGATTTTGTAGGACGAGTAGGAGATGTAGACGAAATAATATTTTTAAGATAGATTTATGCGAAGGTAGATTAAGGCGTATTAACGCCAAATATACTTTATAGTTTTTTTTTTTTTTTTTGAAATTTTGCTTTTGCCTTAAAGCACTAATGTAAATACTTATATCTAGTAGAATTACATTACGAGCCTGTTAGTATAAATATTCATGGAACATCTTCCATATTTTTCAACTAACTCAAAGGTATCCCTCTCTATCTAGTAACCATTTTCCTTCTTTACAAATAATGTTTTACCTGTCAGCCTCATTCTATTCTTTTATACTTTTATGTGTCTATTTGAAAGCGACTGCAGTGTCGGGCATATAAAGCAGCTATAGCATATAAAATTTTCAAAATAAAAAAATTGCATGACAAATACTTTGAAAAATTCAACATACTTATGCGTAAATCAACTTTTTATTCTACAATTTGAGCTGAGTCGTGAGCTGTAGAAATCACGATTTAAGAAATTCAAAGATCTTGAAAGAAACTTGGACGAAAATTTTGGACACTTTCACAATCACGTTTATGTATAATTGTATGAAAAATCATCAGAGCCGGACGAATATTCAATTCATTTATTGCAATCGGAGATTAATGCCGTATCGCCTGCTCGGTACAAATTTCGCTACAATTTCTCTATAAAAAGGAAAAAGAAAGAAAAAAAATAACGGATGAGAGGAATACGTTAATGTGTGACCGACATACATTGTCTTTAATCTCAGTTTTGCATCTACGTGCACGTTTCCCTTCCCGCGCACTTTTGCCTTTGTTTTTTGCTACAGCTCCAGCCTCGAGTAAAATTACACTATAAAAGGGAATATATAGGCCAGACTGTAGAGAAAACTTCTTTATAAAGCACAAGATACGAATCATCGAAGAAAGTAAATTTCAGAATCAAAAATAGTTTTTGGTCAACTGATCACCTGTCGAAAACAGAAAGTCCACTAGATTACTGGAAAACGATAACGATGAATCGAACGTTAGCGAACGCACGACCAGATAAATGTACTGACAGTATGATAAATGAGCGGTTTTATCCAAAAATTTCAACTTCGAACGAAGAAATGAGTTTGCAAGGAGTTTAGTAGTAAAAGTCAATGATGCTCTTGAATTGACTTAATCAAATAATCTGGATAATTTTGTCGAACTTTATGAAACAAACCATGCCTTATCGAGGGCCTTCCTCGGCTAAAAATTTTTATTTTCTACACGAGACAGACACTTGGGAAACAAAAAAGAATTATTTAAAGGATACAAAGAGAAGTTGAATTGAAAGTTATGAGAATTTCACTTCAATTTCGCAGTCGAAGGATTTCAAATTTATCAATGAAGCGAATAACATAAAATACTTATTAATTGCAAAATTATATGAAAAAATAAATACTTACTAATTGCAGATAATTTTCGAGTTGATAATAACTAATAATTGGCGATACGAATAATGTTTTAAACAATGATGGCAAATCAGCGAGCTGATAAAAGTAGAAATTATGTGCATCGCTATCTTTAAACGTGGAAAAATGAAATTTATTAGTAGATAAAGTGGGCATTCCGGCGATGAGGAGCCAAAGTGATAGAGAAAAACTCTATGTGAAAAATTACACATCCGAACAGGTAATGAGACAAGTAGTACGGACCTCGATTGACTGCACGATTACACTTTACTATAGCAAGCGAACTCCTAGTAGTCGGCAACTTTCTTTCATTGTCGTCCCTACGTGCATCGATCCCAAACTGCGCGCAATTGTCCTCCTGTACGATGTACACTGGTATAGCTGCTTTTGGAAATTGACTGGCGTTTCTCTGAAACGAAATCCACGGCAAAATAGCCCTTTTCCATTGCCTTCATGAAACGATGACGATGTCTTTGTATAAAAGTCGAAATGATGAAAATTTTATAGATGTTTCACCTCACCACCCATATATTATTTACGTGTCGTTATATCTATTTGTAAAGGAGAATTTATTTATTTATTTATTTATTTGTCGTAAGTGAAGCGTAAACCAAATTTAAATGTAAAGTAGCACTTAGCGATGGGCGTTTATTATTAACAAATAGATTTATACACGCGAATACGTAGTAGTGCCTGTGCATATGCTTAATCATCGAAAATACGAAAAGCACTTGCGGTTCGATCGTGCGTTCCAAGTATCCAATAATTTGCTTTGCCGAATCTGCAATCTTTAATTAGCTACATTAATGCTTCTCTCCATACCACCACCACCACCACCCCACCACCCCCCCAACGCCAAATTTCTCTCGCCTCAACTATCTCTATCTACACACGCGCGCGCGCGCACACACACATATATATATTTATAAATTTATTTATTTATTCATTTATCTATGTAACCCGACTACAACACTTTCTGTTTCGAGAGAATGAATATTCAGGAGCGCGAGATCCTTTACAAAAAGAAGAAGAAGAAAAAAAACAATGAGAACGAAAAGTGAAGAGAAAAAAAGTCATATATAACGAATGAGTGATATAGTTTTGTTGCATTCTATAATCCGAAAGGATTGTAGAAAATACAAAATAAATCCTGATAATGGATGCAGAAGAAAAATCTAATAAAATGTGACGAGTTTAAGTATAGATGAGATTCCGGTGCGAGCCGAGATATAGATTCACGCTGCGTCGAGTTTGAATATTCGGTAAGCATCGTGGAAAAATGTCGGATATGTGGATAAAAAGTTTGTCGTGAGAGCGGTTATAAAATCCAACAAGGGACAAGTTGAGAGCACAGTAAAGGAAACAAGTGTTCGCGCTGTGTCGAATGGCTGCTTTTTTCAAATACATATGTATTCAAAAGATGAGCGATATAACCGAAAAAATTTTAACCGCCAGGATGATTGATAAAGGGGAAAAATGAGTCGGTCAGTTTGAAATATAAAGATTCGATTTCCGTAGACGAAAATTTTACTCGAATTTGGATTAACGCGTGGAATAAGCGTTTCGAGAGATTTAAACGAGCTTCGCCGACAATTTTATCATGAAAATTCTGAAATATTAGTCGTAATCGACGAGTAGCTCGACTAAATACCATCTTATATATAATAAAGATTTATTTTTATATCGTAATTGCATAATTCTAAGTCCCTGTCGATTATCGTATATACATCAAATTTCCTCGATTATCCGATAATCAAGTACGCGTGGATGATATTCAGATTCATTAGTGAGTGTTTATATAATCGAAACTGAAAATACTTGCTTAAAAATACATCCTTTTGAAGGGATAAAGTAGGAATAAAGTTGGGATAAAGTAGAATCTAATACATTCAGCTGGACAGTGACGTTATCCCCATGACAAGCCTATACCAAGT